AGACGGAGGTCCTGTTGGTTGGCGGATCGGGTTTCAGAGAGGGTGGATTTGACCTGGTCCTGAATGGTGCAACACTCCCTCTTAGGGACAAGGTCCGCAGCTTAGGAGTACTCCTCGACCCGGAGCTTTCTTTGGAAGCTCAGGTGACAGCGGTGGCGAGGAGCGCATTCCTTCAGCTTCGGCTGATTAATCAGCTGCGCCCCTACCTGGAGTACGACTGCCTGGTGACGGTGACACACGCGCTGGTGACTTCCCGCCTAGACTTCTGTAAGGCGCTTTACGTGGGGCTTCCCCTGAAGACGGTCCGAACACTTCAATTGGTGCAAAATAGAGCTGCCAGGTTGCTGATGGGGACGGGGCATTACGCTCACATGACTCCAGTCCTCCGTCAGCTTCACTGGCTTCCCATTGAAGCCCGGGCCCAATTCAAGGTGTTGATTATGACCTACAAAGCCCTAAACGGCTTGGGACCTGGCTACCTGAACGAGCACTTATGTCTGTATATGCCCGACCGCCCTTTGAGATCTGCGGGAGAGTCCCTTCTCCGGGAACCCTCCATGAAAGAAATTAGGAGAGTAAGTACTCGGAGGAGGGCTTTCTCTGCGGTGGCGCCCAACCTATGGAATTCACTCCCCAAAGAGGTCTGCCTGGCACCGTCATTACTGGTTTTTCGGCGCCAGGTAAAGACCTTTTTATTTAAACATCATTTTAATTGTTAAAATATATGATCTGGCCAGGGCAACTTCTTCTTCCTTCTCTTTTCTCCTCCTATATTATTTATTTACTTATTTTATACTGTTATTTTTAATTTTATATTATTATGTTTGAAACTCAGTGTATTTTTTGTATTTTTGTATTTAATGGTAATTTATTATGTTCTATTGTATTTCAATGTATTTTATTGTGTTGTAAGCCACCCCGAGGTTTCGGCAAGGGGCAGCATAGAAATGTAATAATAATAATAATAATAATAATAATAATAATAATAATAATAATAATTTCCATTTTGGCCAGATGCCATGTGTCCAATGAAGTGTGGCACCTGAGGGCTCCCTAAACTTCAGAGGCTTGGTGGGGGGAGTTAGTTCTGCTGTAATAAAGAGTGGTATAAAAAAACAACAGAGCATTGCATGCATCACTTTGAAAGCCAGCCAATCAGTCTTCCTTTTACTCCAAGCCTACATAATAAGAAGTACTTTGTCAAAATTCTTCTCAGAGTCAGATTAACACTCTCTTGCTTCACTGCAAAGGTACTAGAGTGTTTCATAGGGAGGTGTGTGTATACATATGCAGCTGTTTCTTGCTGTTCAGCAGAAAACTCAGCTGAATTCCACATCATAAACACAGTGTATTAATTTATTCCTTGTTATTGAGTAGCTACAGGATCACGTCTAATAGATATGGCAGAGAAAGTCACATGCGGCAAGACTGAGGGAACTGAGACTTTTCAGCTTGGAGGAGACTCTGAGGGGATCTGTTGGCGACATACAGGTATGTGAGGGGATGTCACACGGAGGTGGGTAGAGACCTGTTCTCCCCTGCAGAGGAAGGCAGGATGCGCTCCAATGGAGCAAAGCTCAGGGAACCAAGGTTCAATTTAGATGCCAGGAAGTAATTCCTGACAGTTAGCACCCCAAGGGTATGGAATAGGCTTCCATGGGGGTTGGTTGAGGCCCCATTGGTGAGGGTGTTCAAGGATAGGCTAGACATGCACATGGTGGGCATGTCGTGAGTGGAGCCAGCTGGAGCCGGTTAGATGGCCCAGGAGGCCCCTTCTGACTCGCTCTGTTTCTATGTTTCTATATAATTACTCTTCTGTGCTGGAAAGGGCTGTATGGGCAGACAGATAGAGTAGAAGGGTCTGCAAGATGATATGCTGGCTACCTGCATGAACCTGCAAGTTCATGGCCTGTGTGTGAATGCTACTGTAACTAAATTACTAGAACTTGCCAAAAACTGTTAAAGCTCTTAAATCCTCCCAGCAACAGGCACTGTGCAGGCACAGGACCCATATAGGAGTGATGCACGGAGACCATGATGAAGAGCAATGGGAACTCTGGATGAACGCAAATGCCTTTCTGACCTCCAGGTCACCACTTTAGCCAAGCAGCCTACAAGGGTAACTCAGTCTAGTGCCTTGATTTGAAAAATGGCCCACCCAGAAAACATTCTGACCCTAACATATGCCAAGGCATCCTTCCTCCACTGATCAAAACTTGAGCCTTCCCTGTTGTGTTTAGGCTACCACCTTGCCATGTTCATAATACCTCTTCCTGCTCTTTATATGCTTTTGTCTTTTCTTCTGGCATCAATGCTATTAGGAAGGGGTGCCCCCTGCACCCCAGCCATAGGAAGTCGTGTACAAAATAATCATTTTCTTTCTGTAAAAATGTATGGGTAAAGTAAGGCTTGTAACTTTTGGAGCTCTCTGTGTTCATGAACTAACTTTTCCTAATGTAGTCTAGCACCCACCACAGCTCCACAAAACAGCCTATTCGTCTGGTGTCTGCAGATATACAGATTTTGTTTATTCTGTGTAATTGTCAAGCATTTTACTTCCTATCATCTGTTCAGAGTCAGATTGTGTTTTCCCCTTTAGAAAAGTCAATAAAAGCCTGCCACAATTTACGTAACTTTCACTAGCATGTAACATTTTGTGTATTTTTTTAGCTCATTAAAAAACCAATGAGCACAGCACTTACAGACACACACAGAGAGGAATGCTATACAGGGGATTTTGAAGAGTGACCAGAGATGTGTGAAATAGTTTTTTGTTTCTTTCTTTTAATGTCATATATTGGTGTATTTTCATACAAATAAATTTGTGTATAATTTTGGAAAGTGATAAAAATGATCTGTAGAATCCATGAGTCTAATTCATAGAAACCTGGAACCATTTGAATCTATTTCAGTTTTCTGATGTCCTTCCCAATATCTTTCACTTACATGTGTCCAGGACATGTTTGCATGGATATGAAAATGAAGTGACAGAAAAGAGTCCTGGTAAAATGCATCAAGTCACTGGTCCACTTTATGCATTTCAAAGAAAAGAAAAACTTTGCTAATAGCTGATTACAGTTGAATTATTTTATCTTCTCAAGCAGAATGCTGCCCTTAGCTGGACACCTATATGGAAAATGACTTTTTACGTTCAAATATTTCTGTCTTGAAGCATTTTGTCCTGCCTTGACTCAACACTGATTCTGGTAATGTAAAATATGCAAGGAGCACTCAACTGATTCAACAGTGATTACTGGAGTGGGATCACTGAGAGCAATTTTGTTTAAGTGGATAGTGCCTTATTAGGGACTATAAACAAACAAATAAAAGAAAACAAGTAGAAATGAAAGTCTGTACTATTATGCCCTGATCCCAGCTCTGATTGGCAGGCATAAGAAGCTTGTTTTTATTCATGGTGACATTTTTGTTAACCTGGATAAAAAGCCTTGTCTGGAAGCACCCTATGACATGCAGTTTGATCCAGTATAAGACAAGGTCACAATGGTCCTGCACTGATTTGCTTTCAGAATATCATCTATCGTACTTTAAGAAACACAGATGTTAAAAAAAAATATGGTGATGGCAGGCAAAATAAAACTGGATCTTGTCTATCACCTTCTCTTTTGAAGCACCACAAATAGTAATCAACCCTTCTCCAGAACATCCACAGAAGTTAGATACAATTACTAAATTTTATTTAACAGAAGCATCAGATTCTGGTGCTTCCTCCCTTTTCGCTATCATTAAATTCCAAATATATTAATGTAAGAGGTTCCCTAAATTTAAGAATGAACTTTAAGCATGTTCTTCCCCTGGAGTAAATCTTGTACTCTAGAGGCAAAGATTTACTCAGGTAAAGATTATGTTTCTGGAATACTGATTTTTTTTTTTTTTTTTGGCCTTGACTGTTCAAGTCTGAAAATAACTGAGGCATACTAACCATATCTGCCAACTTGTTTTGATCAATGGGTCCTAGTTGGCGTCATGGGTGGGTGTGGGAAGCATGTTTGAAATATTCAATTTTAGAACACAAAATGACAACGGGGAAGTTAAAACCTGACCTTCTGAAAGTGGAATAGTTTGCATAGGCCTTTGAGTTGGAAGGAACAGATTTGACATGAGAAGAGAATTCACAACACTCAGTGAGAAAATGAATGCAGTGGCATGCACACATACAGTTTTACCTTTATCATGGAAGATATTCCTGCTGGTTGGATGATGCACAGGTGAAGCCTCGTAGCTCTGACAAGATTCAGAAGGAGAGGAGAGTGGAGTACCTCCATGGGAACACACGACATTCATGGGCTGCTGTTCGTCATCCTGGTTTCCAGTTACGTTGTCAAATGCAAATGCTGCAGTGCTAGCCACAGGGGAAAGGGAGGAAGCACCAGAATCTGATGCTGGTGAGGATGCTCTCATACACATGGGCAGAGGAGATTTTGTAATGTGCATGGGGCTACCATAACTGTACGAAGGCTGTTGATACAAGAGATTATGAAGCAGATTATGGCATTCAGGAACCAAGCAGGGCAAGTTATCTTGAATGTGCAATCCCATTTTTATAGCACCTGTTTTCCATCCTGTGTCTGCTTTCGAAGCACTGTTCCAACAATCATACTTCGTTATTAACACTTTATCTTAATTGCTTTCCAATTTTAACAATGTCCTTTGCAGGATTTGCATTTTAAGCTCTTCCAACGTTAACAAGTTACCTTCTAAGCATGGCTTTTTGTTGCTTAAACAATAGAGATATTATCACAACTGGAAAAAAAACCAAAAAACCAAAAGACAGCACATTGCAACACATACAAAATTAAATCAGATGTCTTGGGGGCGCTGCAAGAAAACAGGTGTTTTACCTTGAAAAAGCAAAGACTTGAATACATCTTCCTTATCAAGTTTCATTACAGATGTTACATATTGCCTGCGTTAAAACAAAACCATAGGCTGGGCAAAGCTAACAACCAGTGAGAAGGCAAAGAGGAAGAAAAAGAAGTCACCTTTCTTTCTAGGCTGTCCTCTCCATCTGTGGAGCTGATGCTGTCATAGAGTCTGGTTCTAGTTGGTCTTGACCTTTTGTTCTTTACTGAAAGCTGTACACGAGTCTTCAATGCTTTAGAGTCCAGCCTTTCTGTTTCAGGGACAGCTTCATTAAAATCTTCAGGGAGAAAAAAAAATGAAATTATTGTATCTATTTAACTATCTCAATATTCAGGCATACAACTTGCCTATCTATAAGGGAAACACATCCAGGAAGATGTGAAATTAAGACTGCCTCTACTGCTTCTCCTGCTCTGCCTCAGAGAGCTGTACTGTAGGGACTTACAGGCGTCCTCAGACAACCGCGCCCTTAGGCACCTGGTTTTGATTGCTACCATTTCATTTTAATGTTTATTCGCTAATGACTTGCGTTGTCTGGTTAGCTTTATTGCCATCTTGACTATTAAGTTCATTTTTGTTTGGTTGGTTCATTTGGGGTCAGGAGGGTTATCCGTAATTGCTTTAATACTTCCTGTATGTTCTAACATTGTGCAACCTTTCACTGTGTTATTTGATGAGCTGCCTTATAAGTATTGTTTTTGTTGGTTTGAAACATCAGTGAACTTCATTACGATTCCTATTGGTCTGGATTTTGACTAATAGCATGCTAGGCTTAACTTTTGAACCCAGAAAGGACAGAGCCCATCACAGGTCCAAAACACAGATCCTACTGCACTAAATTGGTAAGTGAAATAACACTGAATGCAGTTTGCAATACTTTATGACTTGAACCTGGAGTCTTCCCAATGAACTGTACATCTCATCACAGACCACTGGCAGCCTGACTGGGACTGATGAGAGTTGCAGCCTGGATGACTGAGGAAGCTGGTTTAGCAAAGACACAATCTTACAGCTGGTCGATGCTGTTGCATAGTCATAAGACAAGGTGGAGGCTCTCCTGCAACCTCAGGAAAGTCACTGTGGGACTCTGCCTTTGGAGGGTCCCCCATCCCACTCTCTCAGACAGCACATTTCTTTCCATGTTGAGAAAGGGCCTGAAGATGGAAGCCTGTCTTTGGGACAGGCACTGAGGGGAGAGTGGGCAGGGGAATGTTGAGGCATTGCCAGCTTCTGCTGAACCTGTGCAGAAGCAGTCTAAACATTCTTGAAGGTGCTTAGTCGGATGCTTGTAATCTGCTGAATATGGAAGGTTATGGATAGTGACCATAATCACTTTTCTTAGCCAAGAATACCCTTAATTCATCTCAGCTCTGGAGTGTGTGGGAAAAGCAGCAGAGGGAACAAAAGCAAGCAGAGGTGCTTGGTTGTCTTTGTTGAAAAGCTAGCTCCATAATCTTTGCATCTCCCTCAGCTATCATCCATCAGGATGCAATACCAGGAGGGAGAGAATGTAGCCCCACTCCGTCAGTGAGGTGAGTGACAGGCAACCTTTAGCTCCTCCTCTACTCAAGCTGCTCTCATCCCAGCTGAGAAGTTTAAAAGTGTAACTTGAAGACTTAGTTCCTGAGTGTACTTTTCCTCTGCTTCCTCTCTCAGGCTTACTTTTCCTTTTGCGTTCTGCCTTTTAGATTGTAAGCCTGAGGGCAGGAGCCATTTCACCTCTGGAAGCTGCCCTGGAAGTTTTTTCTGGCTGAAGCAGAATTTTTAAAAATGTTTGCAACGTAAGTATATCTCTTTTTCTGTTAGCATAGAGCAGAGGCATGTTGTGCTTCCTAGATTCCTTTTGTGTGCTTCAGAGGATGGTTGCCTTAGACACTGAGCAACCAATCTTGATCTGTGTAAATTAACCCACAGCAAGGTTATATATTCATTTTTTAACTGTGTAACCTGCAAATGTTTAACTAATTCCTCATGCTCCATCAGGCCTACAGGTGACTATTACTTCTACATGCAGCTATTTTTCATTGCTGCTCTGTACATTTTAGAGACACATAAACAAACACAGATAAAACGAGTTCTCAGTCTACCACCCTGGATTCAGAGAACTCCCCTCTCTGCCACCTGACACACTTTCTCCTATTATTCAGTGTGACATCTGGACTCATCAAGTCCATCATCAAGGAGACATTACCGGTTAAATAAATGGGTTGAATCCTTTTCCCCCAGTGAAATAAGGCAATAGTCACTATTGATTCATATCTCATTGATTTCAG